GCCGGCGCTTTTCAGGGCCACGCCTCTCACACGTGCAGGGCGTGGCGGCAGTCAGGTGGTGGAGTCCGGGACGCAGAGTCCAGGGCGCAGATTGTGGTGGCGCCCAATCTATGGAATGCGCTCCCCAGAGTCACATGCATTGGTGACTTCCTGTCTCGACTTCTGTAACGCACTCTACATTGGGCTACCCTTGAAGACGGTCCGGATACTTCAATTGATTCAAAATAGAGCTGCCAGGCTGCTGACGGGGACTGGGCGTTGTGTTCACATGACTCCAGTTCTCCATCAGCTTCACTGGCTTCCCATTGAAGTCTGGGCCCAATTCAAGGTGTTGGTGATGACCTATAAAGCCCTAATGGCTTGGGTCCTGGTTACCTGAAGGAGCGCTTGCATCCATATATGCCCAGCCGCCCCTTGAGATTGGCGGGGGAGGCCCTTCTCCGGGAACCCTCCGTGAAAGAAATTAGGAGGGTGGGTACTCGGAGGAGGGCTTTCTCTGCGGTGGCGCCTAAGTTATGGAACGCGCTCCCCAGAGAGGTCCGCCTGGCACCGTCGTTTTTTGGCGCCAGGCGAAGACCTTTTTATTCAAGCGGCATTTTAACTGTTAATATTATTGGATTTTATCTGGCCAGGGCAGCTTATTTTATACTGTATTGTTGTATTTTTAATTTAATATTTATATTTTTAATTTATATTATAATTATTTTAACTTAGTGATGTAAGCCGCCCTGAGGCTTCGGCGAATGGGGCGGCATAAAAATGTTTTAATAAATAAATAATAAAGTGTCTGTCTTTCTCATGGGGTTTCAGGACAGAGATCCACTAAAGCAAAAAAAAAAAAAAAAGGGGGGGGGCAGACATAACTATGGCTAGATATCTGCCTTGTTTCCTTTCCCATTAGACATCTGGTGACCTCTCTTCTTTTAGAGATCATGGGGCAAGAGTTTTATATATCACAGCTGCTAGATAAGATATGACACAAGTTAGAGAGGCTGTCAGCTGCCTTTGCAACTTACCTAACCCTCTGATGAAGAAGGGACCTACAAAGGATGAAACCAGCAGTCCCATCTTGTGAGGGTGTTTTTTTTAAATCTCCAATCACTAATGTAAATCTCAACTAAAGTGTATCCCATTCCTGACTTCTCTTGCTTGTGAAGGTCTGAGAAACGAAAGCATCAAACTGGGAGTAGAGTATCTACTCAGTGCGAAAGCACAGAATAACCAGACTTTACAGATTAAACATTACATTTGGAGGTAGATCTTTACATTACTTCCTGGTTACTCTGGCTAATATCAGCTTCTGGGACAAAATATACCTGTATAGTGCCTTATGTATACAGAGCCAAGGTTTTTTTCTTCTCACAACTCCTGAAAAGTCAGCCCTTCCTTTTAGGGCCCCAAACAGGCTTCAGTTTCAAGCTTAAGCAGAACATTTCGTTGTGGTTCACTCTTGTTATACTCTAGTGCTAACAAATGTAAAGACCACCCTCTATAATCTTATCTTTGTAACACAACTGCTAGTCGCACTTTAGGTCTTTGGGAAGATCTTCACATAGTAGCACAAGAAATAATTGCTGAAGATGGTTTCACTTTGCGTACATGGTTCCCAGCTGAGTCTAAGAGAGCTGAGACCCTTTCAGTCCATTTCCTTCTTGGGATGTGCCCAATGAAAAAGGTGAGCGAGCAAGCTTTTCTTCATGTGTCTCTAAGATCCATTCACCATACGGAATGCAAGGATTGTGTAAGCCATCCTGAGACAATTGGATGGTATAGGATGGGATAAAAATATTCTAAATAAATAAATAAAGGATGAAGGTGCAAGGTGTGTGTGTGAAAATGATCACATTGCAATTATTTTAAAATTTGTAGGAGTAAAATGTTAGTGATGAATCATTGGAGAAGTAGACTCACTGTATTTTGGGTACATGTTGACATTCTTTCTCTGGCTTGGAATCTGGAAAAAACTTCTCTTTTTCAACATAAGCTGGATTTGTGAAGTGCTGGATTGGTCAGCGTTTGTGTAAAGCTTAAGGCTACCTCTTTTTACTTGGAATAAGGCTGTGTGGGTGATGTGGATGCACTCTACTCTGGATCAGCTTTTATTCAGTTTGTAAGACTGTAAGCCACTGGAAAGGAATTTCTTTTTGTTATTAATTTGTATGGTGACCAGCCCAGTATTAGACAGCTTAGATAAATCATAATACTGATTTCCATAAGAAATGCTTTTATAATGAAAGATGACATCTGAATCACAAAACAGTAAACAAGAGTAGTATTGAGAATATTTATTTGTGTTCAGTGCTATTTTCAATAAATACTGGTATCATATTTATGTCTGAGGTAAAATAAATTAAAAACACTCAAGAATGTAGACCCATAAATTTGTGCAGCATTATTTCTCTACCATTATACAGAAACTTTGTCTCAACTCTAGAGAAATCCTTGATTTTTTTTTCTTTAATGTTGCTTTAATTAAAACGAAAGGCATCTTTCACTGGAAATTTGTCAGGAATAGTTATTGTGTGCTACATTTTCAGTGTGCCTTTTGAAAACTACACTAGATGTATTTCTGAGGAACTTGTACATCCAGGTTGTAGGAAGAAATGGGCCATGAGGATGCACTTTTGGCCAAGCAAGGGGACTATTGTATGAAAATGTTGTGACATACTGAAAGTTTATTAACGTGTGGCATAGGGGGTGCTTACATGCCTATTGTTTTAGTCTTAAATATATGCTGTATTGGATTTCAGGGAAGCTCCAATGGCATTTAAAGGCATTCAAGGCATTAAATGTCCTGCTACATCAGGCCTTTTCACACTACTCATTTATTGGAGGTGAATGTTGAAGGGAAACAGGTTTAACATGAAATCCGTTTCCTGACCTGCAGCATCCACACTGAATAAAAGTGCTTTGAAAGGGGAAGCAGTATCTGAAGGGGTCCTTATATCCCTGCCCGTTCTCTTGTGCCTCACAGCTTCTGTTGTATCATGCGAGTGGCACTCCACTGCTTGTCCAACACAGATTTTACACTTCTCAGAGAAAGCCCTGAAATGAGCAGAAATAGATCAACATAGCTCCTCTACGCCCCATTCCAGAAAGAAGTATTATTGCTCATTTTCAGCTGCCTCCAGAAGTGCTAAATCTCTGTTCTGCAAGTGGAGGCTGCCAGCCGCTGATGGGAATTAGTGAAATGCAAAAGAGTCAGCAGGGGCTTAAGCACCCCACTGGATATTTCCATGGAATCCAATATACTACAAAGATCTGTATTTGCATGCTTCCAGGAGCACCTCTTTAAAGAGCAGCAAATGTCTCCGTGAACATTCAAAAAGTACAGCTGGTTTGTGCTTTTGCCCTCACTCATCCTTTTCCCTGTTACCTTGGACTGTTAACATTTCACCCTATTAGAAGGCATCCCTGTACAGAAACTACTTTCTATCTATGATAGTCTTCAGAAAAACAGAGGTGTTTACTTCTTCTCCAAGCCAAAACTAGTGCTGCTTCAGAGTCCATTGATTTTTTTTATCATGTTACACATTCCAGGAGCTTTTTTCTCTTTTACATTCTCTTCTGCATTAATTGCACGTTTCCTCACGAAGAACTCTAAAGGGAAAGCAGATCTGGCAAGAATAAACAAGCTAATTTTGAGGGATGCTAAGCTGCTAGGTGTAGATGGGGGACACCAGCCCCCGTGGGAATTGCATGGTTTGCTAGAAATATTTTCAAGCAATGGTGGCAGCCATGACCAAATAATAAGTAAGTCAATAAATGGTGAAGATTCTTCAAGGAAAATTATTCCAAGTGGCTTTTTTGCAGGGAGGGGAGGAGAGTGAGAAAAAGAGAAATGGTAATGTTTTTTCAGAAAAATGTCTTCTGAGAAAGCCTCTACACATTTGAATTGGCTCTTCTTCCTCAGCAGTTCAGGGACAAAATGTTCAGACAGAAAAACATTATGAGCTGGATGAGTTGACACTGCATTTGCTTGGCCTGTGGTAAGCTGTGGCATAGAGAAGTCCTTAAAAAGACTTAAAAGTAACAATCTTCTGAACGCTCCATCAATGGAGCAATTAGCTCTTATTGGATTTTTATTCTTTTTAATAGCAGCACTGGAATATTCTTCACATCAGTGAAGCATCTTAGAAAACGTCTAACCTGGTTTGCAAACATTGCCCTTTTGACAAAAATAAGTATGTAAAGGACAACCTTTCTTCTATCAATCTGCTAAAAGATAGCATCCCAATCAACAAACTCGCTCATTCACAATAAAATAGACATTAAAAAAATAAACTCTTCATTTTCATCATCTCTCACAGCGCATATAAACATATTAAAGGGCAGGGCATAGCTCTTGATCTCCTCGTTCGCAAGTGCAGCAAGCCGACAGGTTTCAGTTCTCTTCACACTGATGCTGGTGTGAGCCCAACTGGCCCTTAAGTCATTGGCCAGCCCGATACCCATGAACCCAAATAAGCTTGCATCCAACCGTGTCATTAAAAAACTTCTTTTAACCTTAGAGACAAAACACGATTTTACTTCTGCCTTTCAAAATGGAAGAACTAAGTATCATACATGTTTATGTGCTTCATTACTTTACAGAGTGAGTTGGGGTACCATGACTATAAGTGCTTTGTTTTGGAAACACGGTGTGACATGCGCTCGAGCACTTTAAATATCTGGACAGTTGTAGTAATCCACACTGAATTCATGAAGCTACAGCTAACGTCTTTGTGCTTTTTTTCTTGGTGTTCCAAGCAGAGAATAATTTGGTTGGCGTTATTATTATTACTATTATTGTTGTTATCCTATTTTGCAAGCTATTGTCAGAAGTGATGACACTACCCTGAACAACCGATTTGGAGTATCAGTGAAACTTATGGTCTGCGTTTCAGCACTCCATGCTCATGCAGTGGGTGGCTATTTGAGGGGCAGCATGGATCACACTACAGTGGTGCTGGGAGGTGGGCCCTCAGATTTGAGCTTTGATCAGCATCAGCTCTGGATCCTCAATATTCTACAGAGTTCACTATTGCTAATGGTTCATCGAAAGTCGCCAACATGATTTGCTTTGTGGAAGGCATGGAGATTATATCTCCAGTTTCTGTTGGCGAGTTAATCCTATTATCTAAAGAATCCTCTATAAGCTCTGACACCTCTTCTTCATGGTCTTCATACAGTGTATTGATGTGCAGAAGAGGATGTGCAGGGTTACAGTTCAGGGCAGATACTGGCTCTGCCTTGCTGACCTGTGGCAGGGTGACATTTGCTGCGGGGCCAGAAGTTGCTATATGGTTGTGATTACAGGTGAGAAAAGCCCCAGTGGCAGACACAGTCCTGCACGTGGCATGCGAGTAAAGGGTATCTTTTCCAGGAAGGGAAGAACCTGAAACAGAAGCAGAATACATAATACGTCATTAACTACTTTGCCAACTTCTCGGATTGGTAGAGGCTCTGTTCTGGTGGTTGCCTTCTATAGCCCCCTCTCTGTGAAAGCAGTTGTGAGGAGCTGCAACATTGTCCATGGATGCACATTCTGCCCCAGCTATGTAACGGGAGGGTGCCGTATCTTCCTGCATCCATGCCTCTCTGAGCTAGCTACTGCATTATTTTTTCACAGCCATGCCTCCCTGTGAAAGGGATTAGTGCATCAGTGTCCTACAGCCACCATGCCAGTGCAGTAGAGACTATTAGTTTCAGCAGCCACTACAAGTACCTATGGCTTGAAAGCCTCTTTAACCATCAACTGAGAAGCGGCTGTAGCTCAGTGGAAAAACACATGCTTTGCATGCAGAAGTTCACAGTTTCAATCTCCAAAATGTCAAGGCAGGCTGGAAATACATCCATCTGAAACCCTGGAGAGCTGCTGTCAGCCTGTATTGACAATGCTGGGCTAGACAGAACTCAGTCTGTCTACACGGAACCCTGTCAGGCAGCTTCTCATGTTCTAGGTAAGGCAAGCAAGCAATACGCATCCACCTTCATTTCTTGGCTCACTTCTTTTCTTACTAGAGGTAACAAGTAAATCAATACTCTGGTTATTTTACTTCTTTGTTCTTTCCAGCATAGTTTGCTCTTGATGACAATTTGGAGAGAATGCAAGAACCGCCAGCTGGGATCGGAGAGAGAACAAAGAAGGAAAACAACAGGAACGGTGACAGACCGTTGTAAGAAAAAGCAGCTATGAGGGTGAGTGCATGATGATAGCAGCGCTCTTGCTGTCAGCACCTTGTAGAGGCTCTTGGAAGCCTGGAAATAAATGTGATGCCTCATTAAGAAGCTAATGCATGAACAGGTCCCGAGAGACCTGCAGCAGGCCAAGAAGCAGAACATGCCTGGAAAGATATTCCAGCCTCTGGTGCTGAGAGTATTGTTTCATTATCAAAATAACAGGAACACAAATGGTATCCCACAGATACATGCAAAGGATTGTCTGAGGCATCCAGAAAAAGGATGACAAGATATTCAATGCCTGATAACCATACTCTTCCACAAGTATCAATTAAGATCTTCACTGGAGGCTCTTTCCGACATACTCCCATCTTTCGAAGTAGCTCTTTTGAAAAAGACTTGACAGCTGCAAAGAACTGTACATGGCTCAGAGAAACTGAGGATAGATGTACTTTGCCCCCTCTCTCTTGGTACTAGAACCTAATGGGGTCATCCTTCGACAGATAAGAGGAAGTACTTCCTCACACAGCACAAAGTTAAACCATGGAATTCACTTCCATGAGATGCAGTGATGCCACCAATTTGGATGGCTAAAAATGGGAATGGACAGATTCTTGGAGAAGTCTACCACCTTGCCTTTTGGTAGCACCCTCACTGTGACACTTCTTCCCTAAATGTTCATCTGGTGCTTTCATTATTATCTGTTTAGGTGGCAGGAAAGCAATACTCTGTTTTTCTAGGTTTTAATAGCTTTTTAGGATATCAGGTCTGCCTTAAGATATATTAGGTCTCCTTAAGCTGGATTATTGCTTTAAAGTTTCTTTTTACCCATTCATTCTGCTTATGATTTTCATGACCTTAAAAAAAATCTGCCTTGGAGTGCATAAAAACTGGACTTTACATTCTGAAACAAAACACTTTCAATTTTTGCTAAATGCAAAAGCATGCTATCATAATCAGCATGGAAACAGTCAAACACCAAAGTAGTCAACACATTATGTAGCATTATTGTCACTAAGAGCATAGCCAGAACTCAAATTTATATGTGGAGAAAAGACTTCCTCCAATTGCTTATATTAGATAAACATCAGTCTGACCTGCATCATTTTCTATAGATAAACTACTGCTATGGTGTGAGATTACAACCATATGGAAAAAAGCAACCATGACCCAGTGGTATCTGAGTGTTTCTGGGGAAATTTTCTACAGAAGTGGCCATTTTGTAAGTTAAAAAACAAACAAACTGTATTTGACTTAAGTACAATAAGGTGAATAGCTAAATTATCACTGTACCTTTGAGAGAAGAAGTGACGTGCACTATGACTTTTTCTTCTTGGCTTAAAAATCCACTTTCTTGGCTTTTGGACGTTGCCATAGAGGTAATCGGTTGAATCTCTGGCTTGGGTTTCTTACTGCTAAGTATATATGGATGAACATCTAAAGAAAAGTGGCGTGTATGCTTCTTCTCACCTCCTGTGCTGGACAGGGTGCTAGATTCATTTTTGTGAGATGAAGATGACTGGGAGGTTTTTGAGTTGCACTCGAGCAAAGGGGCAATCAGGCTATCCGTTGCTGTTTTCCGACGCACCGGTTTTGGCTTTTCAGGCTTGTTATTTTCAATCTTCATAATAGCCAACGGCTCTTTGAATGGCTGAGGAAGTGGATTACTACTTGGGATCCATTTCATTTTTTTTCGAGGTCGCTTAATGATCAGTGGCTCATTAGAGTCCATATCTGCAGGGTCAATACTGGGGTCTATGGTTTGTATTCCAGAATCACGAACAGTTGGAGTGACATCATGATTAGACTGGGCTAGTGCCGCAAGTAGCTGGCGCACCACATTGTCGTACATGAGATCACTTTCATTGGTAATGAAATCCAAGCGGTTCAGTGACTTGATGTGGTCCCGATTTTCATTGCAAAACATGGCCAAGATATTGATGTCACAGAACTGTGACTTTTGCCACTGCTTTTTAGTCTTTATGCCGACCTTGTTCAGCTTGTCAAATATGAAGTTGGATTTGCGGAATATAAACAGGTGAATTAAATTGATGAGAATAATCAAGTTCATGAAGCAAAGAAGGACAATGTCTACCGCAGCGATTATGCGCTGCAGTTGAACCGAAGGCAGTTTGCAGTTCACACGGATTAGCAACTTAGAATTGCTCGTTTTATCAGGAGGTTCTCCAAGAGCACACGTAAACTCATTCTGTTTCTGCGTAGCATAATAGGTAGACAAGTATGTGACTGGGATGATGCTTAAAAAGATGATGAATAGATGTCGTGCAAGATAAAGTTTGGCTAAGAAATTACTGCGCCCTCTCCGTTCCAGGTATTTTTCAAACAAATTTTGCTCTGGGCTCTTTTCTTTCTCAGCATTCTCAATGATTTCTCTTTTCTCTCGTTCAGTAATCCCAGGGCCTTTGGACTGGATTTGTTTTTCAATTTTTGGCGCACGGCCTTCAGCTGCTCGGTGGTAGCAGTTATCTATCTCCTGGAGCAAAAAGTTAAGTTCAGAAGTCAGTCTGGTGGAGGCCAGGAATTCCCAGCCAAGTGCTGGAATGTACATAATGCCAGCAAAAGCCAGCAGGGCATATGGAAGGAACTTATGCTCAAACAAGGAGGGCCAGTGGCTGGCATTTACTCCTGGCAAGGCATCCCTTAGTTCTGTCCAACAATATCCTCTGGCATACAAGGCTTGGTCACGGGTGAAGTTGTGTGGTGTGTAACAGTATATTGGCTCCTCTGTATAACAGATAGAAAAGTCACTGCTGTGCATTTAACCTACAAAAGGAACTCTGTAAAGTAAGTATGTCATAAACTCTATCAATTTTCAGCTACAGTATATTTGAAATAGCATTGTGCACAAAAATGGCACCATTCCTCAGTATTAAAATCTGCCTTCTGATACCATTGCAAAATGCAGGGAAATCTATAAACTTGAAAATGCTATGATGAACTTGAATAGATATTATCAATAAAGTTTACAAAATTGTCTCAGTGACTGTTACCAGTGGTAAACTCTGGAAAACAAATGAACAGAATAGCTCTACTTTATCGTAAAGAGGGAACGGGGGATGAAGGCTTGTCCACACATACACACAAAGAATTTGTGTGACCTCTCTCAATGTGTATGAGCATATTACTATTAAAAACAATCACTAGGTTTTAAAACCCATGACTAAATAGGTTAGCTATACTCTTTTGCCCTTTAAGAGCTTTTCAGCACGCCAAAAATTATGTGGCAAATCTTCCCCCAACACACCAAGATAATGAGAGAGGCTAAGCCTGTGAATTTTCTGACTTTCTCATAAAGGAACTGAAGCTTTGACTAGATAGCAAGAATGTATTGAAATATTTGGAAAGTCGCACATTTTCTTTGTTGTGCCAGATCGCTCTATTCATTCTCCTACTTCCACTGAACCAGGCAAACGCAGTTTAAAATTATCCCACAATTCAAACTATTGTTTCCCTTTCTTGTAGTGTTACACATTTTGGAGCATTTGAGAAAAGTCCCAGAAGACAGGGCCATCCCAACATCCAGATGTTCTCAGGCAATGACACTATTGGCAGATGCAACAGCCTGCCTCACAGTATATTTCTTTGTTCAACCAGCCTGACTTAAATCACAAAACCCAATAGAAAAGGGAATACAATTTTTATTCCATCATGCCACAACTGGGTACTGAGCTAAAAAGAAATGAGTGCTTAATTCCAGCACACCTTTTTGTAAAGGCAGGTTGCTTACCTGCAACTGATGTTCTTCGAGTGGCCATCTGTGCAGTCACACATATGGGTGCTGTGCCTGCACAGTGCCTAGGCCGGAAGATTAAAAAGCTAATGGTTTTTGGCGGGAAAACTCCACTCCCCTCCCCCTTCATGGTATAAATAGAGCAGAGTGTCCGCCATTTTGTTCAGTCTTGAAGACCGAACGTTCGCCCTCTACAGGTTAAGAATAAAATTAGTTGCAAACGGCATTGAGCTCCAACGGTACCGATGCAAAGTATAGTACAGTACCGAGAACAATATCCACTCACCGGCATATACCATTGGTACTGATGCAAATTACAGCGTGGTACCGAGGCAGTATGTAATGATGGACACCAAGTGGGGCCGGTGGGTGGGTTGTGTGACTGCACAGATGACCACTCGAAGAACATCAGTTACAGGTAAGCAACCTGCCTTTCTTCGTCGTGGCCTCTGTGCATCACACATATGGGTGATTAGCAAGCTTACCCAACTCGGAGGAGGGAGGTGTCGTCAGCAAAGAACGGACGAAAGAACAGCCCTGCTGAAAGAGCAGTCCTGCCTGGCGCGCACATCAAGCCGATAGTGCTTGGTGAAAGTGCATGGCCCTGACCACGTTGCAGCTTTACAGATATCTTGGAGCGGGACCCCAGCGGCAAAGGCTGACGAAGTCACAACAGCTCGTGTGGAGTGACCCCTGGGGGTAACAGGTAAGTCTATTTTTGATAGTTGATAGGCCAGGACAATAGTCTGGGTGATCCAGTGCAACAGCCTTTGAGGTGTGACTGGAAGTCCTTTGTCATGTTTGGAGTACTTAACAAAGAGTCTGTTCGTACAATGGAGGGATTCCGTACGGGAGCGATAGAAAGCCATGCAGCGGCGAACATCAAGGGTATGTAGAGCCCGCTCTATTGGATTTGACGGCGCTGGAAAGAAGGCTGGCAGAACGATATCTTGACTCAAGTGGAATGGTGTAGCCACTTTAGGAAGAAAGGAAGAATCCATACGAAGAATGACCTTTTCCTTATGGAAATTAAGATATGGAGGGTCTATGCGGAGAGCAGAAAGTTCGCTTCTCTCCGAGCTGATGTCACCGCTATGAGGAAAGCTGTTTTCCAGGACACCAGGCGTAGGTCGACAGTCGCCAGTGGCTCAAACTGAGATTTGGTAAGTGCTTGGAGTATGACTGAAAGGCTTCAGGTTGGCATAGGCGGGCGAATAGAAGGGTGTAGGTTCTGTAACCCCTGAAGGAAACATCGAAGTAGAGGTTGAGAGAAAACTGAAATCCCTTGAAGCGCACCACAATAGTGTGAAATAGCGGCTACATAAACTTTAATGGATGACGGTTTCAGTCCCAAATGATAGAGTTCCAGGAGAAATTGTAAAATATTGTCAATTGAGGCCATTCCAGGAGAAAAAGAATGGCGTTCTGCAAAGGAGGAAAATCTCTTCCATTTAGCCGCATAAGAGCGACGAGTGGACTGTCTTAGAGCAGATGTGAGAATCGCCTGAATTTCCTGGTCAACAGTCACCAGTAGCGAAGCAGTTGTCGTCGAAACTGACCTAGGGGCCGTCGGTACAGTGGAGTGAATACATTCCGGTAGAGGTTCGGATGTCGTCAGTACCGACGCAGCAGAATGACTCAAGTGATCTGCCATGCTGTCAACCTCAAGGCAGTCAGATCCGGATGTCGGATCGCTCCGTTTTGCTGCGTTAATAGCTGAGGAATAGACGGGAGGCAAAGAAACGTCCCTTTGGATAGATGAAGAAGGGTGGCGAACCACGGTTGTCTCAGCCACCATGGAGTTATTATTATTCCTGTGGCATTCTCTTGAGATACCTTCGCTATCACTTTCGTTAGAAGTGGAATTGGGGGAAACGCATAAAAGGCTATGTTGTCCCAGGGGATCATAAGGGCATCTCCCATCGATCCCGATCCTATGCCTGCCCTGGAACAATATAGGGCACACACTCTGTTGTTGCAAGTGGCAAACAAGTCCAAGTCTAGATAGCCCGACAGATGGAAGAGGTCATGGCATATTTGTCTGTCCATCTCCCATTCATGCGTTGTTGACATGTGTCTGCTCAACATGTCTGCTTCGGTGTTGTCGGTCCCTGCAAGGTGGACTGCTAGAAGCATAATGTCCCTCGGTATGCACCAGTCCCAAATGGCCATCGAGAGACGTGCGAAAGGTGGCAATTTTGTGCCGCCCTGTTTGTTGATGTAGAAGACAGCTGGTATGTTGTCTGATGCAATCTGGACAACTTGTTGGCATAGGACAGTCTCGAAAGCCCTTAGGGCGTTGAAAATTGCCTGTAGTTCGAGGACGTTGATGTGCTTCCTTGCTTCCCGTCCGTTCCAAGTTCCCTGAACCCGAAGGTCCGCATATGTTGTGCCCCATTCCAGTAGCGACGCGTCTGTATACAGGGTCTTCGTTGGATGAGGTGTTCGGAACGGGACACCGACAGACAGGTTGCTCGGAATGGTCCACCAAATTAGAGTGTTGAGTATCACAGACAGAATTTGGATCAGTTTGTTGGGAGAATCTCGCTGTGGGCAAAACGACGTGTTGAAAAACAGCTGCATGGTCTGCATCCGTAGTCTGGCATACGGGACAATGGAAACTGTAGCAGCCATGTGCCCCAATAGTCTCTGAATGGATATAGCTGGAACTGTTCCTAGTGTTCAGATTTGATGGATGTGGGCACGCAAGGTAGTGCGACGGTCCAGAGGGAGGAAAGCTCTTTCCCGTGTGCAGTCGAGACGTGCCCCAATAAAGTCAATGACCTGCGTGGGAATAAGGGATGATTTTTTGTGGTTAATACATAGTCCAAGATCATCGAGCAAGGTGTAGGTCATGTGTATTGCAGACAGAAGCCCTTGTTTAGTTTGGGAGACAATTAGCCAGTCGTCTAAATATGGGTATATTTGCACTCCTCTTGTCCGTAAGTGCGCACATACTGGTGCCATACACTTCGTAAAAACTCGAGGTGCGGTGGCCAGGCCAAAGGGTAGCACAGCATATTCGAACAAGTTGAGCCCAACAGTGAAATGCAGGAAACGTCTATGTGAAGGATGGATAGCAATATGAAAATAAGCATCCTTCAACTCTAAGGAGGCGAACCAATCCTCTCTCTTCAGTAACGGAAAAATACTCTGTAAAGTGGCCATCCGAAACTTTTTTGTTTTGATGTATTTGTTAAGATTCCGTAAGTCCAAAATCGGACGAAGACCACCGTCTCTTTTTGGGACCTTGAAGTATCTGGAGTAGAATCCGTGCAATCCCTCCAAGCGGGATAGTTGTCGAATCGCGCCCTTGCGAATCAACTGAGAGACTTCTTCGCACAGTGCCAATGAAGAAGATGTAACTCGAATCGGACACGGTGGAGGGACGACATCGAATTCTATCCTATATCCGAACTGAATGATAGACAACACCCACCTATCAGATGTAATGGACTCCCAAATGGGGAGTCGGCCCTGGAGCCGGTCCCCAAAAGGGAGAGGGAAAGGTGGTGTGGGGAGAGAGAGAATGGTTTGCCCGGACCGTCAACATGGACGTTTGTCAGCGTCGAAGCGCCACCGGCCCTGGGGGAAATGTTGCTGCGGCTGTTGTCTTCGCCGTTGCTGTCTTTGTTGGTAGTGTTGCCGAGGGTGGAATTGTGGACGGTAAGAGGAACGAGGCCCTTGCCACTTACGCCTCTGTTGAGGAAGCTCCATGCAGGGCGCGGTCATACGCAATTCGTGTATTGCTTTTAACTTGCGGTCGGTTTTCTGATGGAATAACCCAGTACTGTTGAATGGCATTTCCTCGATCCTCTGTTTCATCTCGTCGGGGAAATTGCAATTACGAAGCCATGCATGTCGGCGCAGCGAGATGGCATTCACGAGAGCTCTCGAATTGGTATCTACGTGATGTCGTGCGGTAGATAATTGCTGCACTGCTACCTGCATAGCTTCCTTGATGAATACCCTGGCAAGCTCGGCTGGAAGGGAG